AGAGCCCCACAAACTCATAGTCATAAACAACATTCATCAGCACCCAGCAGTGCACTGATCAGACTGAATAAGATTTCAGGTTTTTTAACTGGTTTAAATAAACTAACATAGTTAATCACTTTTTTCAATAAAGTCCCAACAGGGAACCTTGTATTCATTGTTTCTAGTACACCCGTAAATCTGACGCACAAGCTGCTTTACACTGTGTTGAACCTTGAAGTTCCAACCTAAAAACAAACTCTTCTGTTCAGTTTAGGAAGTTAACTTTAAATTCTTCTCATAGCAAACGTTAACATCTTAAAGGCTGTAATGTATGCCATGTTGATCTATTTCTTTACCAAATTCAAAGAAAAACTGTGCTATAATGAGTCTTTGCGCATTTTTCAAACTTCCTATTGAAGTAGTTGTATAAAATATCCGGGGTTTATAAAAGCTAAAGGACTATAACTGTCAACCTGATGGTTAAATAATCCAAATATTGGGTTAAAATACATTTATATTTGCATTGATGTGCTTACATGTTAAAGTTTATTTTGTCACTAAGATGATTTTAATTTAATTGCATTTAATTAAGTAGAACCTAATTTATTCTAATTATGTAAGGATAAAAGAAAGCTGTTATTAAAACTAAAATAAACAGCTTACAGTTATTTAATGTGCTAATAGCGCAGCCTTGTGGCATTTCCTGTTCTCCTTTGCTCTCCTCCTCTTCATTCATCAAAAGTTTTTTCTTTGACAGCTTTTTCACCTTTAGAAGTCAGCTGATCTGAAAAAAACTGGTTTGCTCGTTGCTATGGTGACATAGTGCTATTATAGTGATTTAAGACTTGCAGATTTAGGCTGTTGCTATTAGGTCAACATGAACTCTGTATTTCAGGTATTCTTTAGTTGAATGTGAGGTCATCTGCCCAACCGTTAAAAGCTGACCAGGTTTTGATCATGCAAGAGAACAATGATCCCAAACACAGCAGCAAATCTACAACAGAAAGGCAGATAGGAGAAGCATAGAGGTGCTCCTTTGGCCCAAAGGCTGTGCTCTCAATCTGACTAATGGGTTGCAAAATACAGAGGCCACAGACATCGATGAGTTAAAGTGTAAAATAGGCGAACAACCACAGAAAAGACTGATAAAAATCATACACAAAACCTATGCAATCCAAAGATGGCATGCTTTTTTTTCTTTAACCCAACAAATGTGACACAAAAGTAAAAGTAAGGCTGGCGTTACTTTTTGGTCTTCTCGTCCTCTGAGGTCATACTCATGGAGGATTCTTCCGTCTCCGAAGCGATGAATTCATCCATGCTGTCCTCGTCAAAGAAGCCCTGAACCAAAAAGAGACTTTAGAGGCGCTGAAAAACAGAAATTTTTTAATTGCTGCCCTACTGTGTGTGTGTGTGTGATTCACACCCATGCACTCCAAGCTTTTCATAGATATATTCATTGCTCTTCCTTTCCCAGCCATACCCTGTTTTCTTTGCTGATGTAGTCCAGCTGAAGGCACCAGGGATGGGTCCAGATTCTGCTGAGCATCTGGAAATCCTGGAACAGCTTCGTTCCTGCTCGGCCCCGGCCTCCTTCCAGAGCGTTTCCCACACCTGTAACAAACGCAAGAAGGAAGATGGATGTGTGTTCATCTCACAAGCAGCACGCTCCAAATGTCTTCCCAAGCAAAGGAAAACCTTCAGCTTCCAGCCTCTCGCACCGCTCAATTTAAAGCCGCTCTGACTTCAAACCATGAAAACAATACTTCTATCCTAGTTTTGATCTTTCCCTTTCATCGATGTCACAGAACGGCCAGCGGTGACCTCAAGTAGCAAGACATTACCCTGAGGTGTTAGGGGGAAAAAAAGATCATTTTACAGCTAGAAGTGTCACAAGACCCCACTGAGAAGGTTCCACAGCCACAACATCAGCACTGTGGACACCTCAGCCTAATGAGGGAGGCCGCATACCACAGACCCCCCCCGTAAAAACACACCAAAGCTGTAATGTTCTTTGTTTTTGGTCTAGGTGGAAAACCTCTGGCCCCTTCTTCAGCTAGATTTCTCTCCCAGAGCTCTTCATTAGGAAGAAACGTGGGAAACTGGGCTTAAAACCTGCCTGTAGCACAGAGCCAGCTGCCTCTACACGCGCACACGACCCGGGCCACTTTATGACAGGGAAGTCCACTAAGTAGCGTGATTCATGACAACAAAAAAATAAAAAATGGAGCTCAGAGGTACTTGTCTTTGATTCCCTCTAAGTCATCAGGTAAAGGGGACTTATTAGAAACTGCTGTCGGACATTTGGATCAAACGGTACCAGAGCATCCAGCAGCTTTAAGCACGGTTCTCACCTGTAAAGTGCTCCAGGTAATGTCGGTAGAGTTTACATTGGAGCGGCGTTATTCTGACCGACAGCACGTACTCGTGTTTAGGCGGAAGGAACTTTGTGAGCGCCGAGTAATCTTTTCTCTGAGACGGAGCAGATACAAAAATGTTATCAAAAGAGACAAAAATGGAAGAAGAAAATCGGAGCAGAGTCGACTTTTCACCTGGACGCAGCCGGCCAGCATCTCATAAAGGATGTGTGCCCTCTTCTTCATAATCCGGACGTCATGCGGCGTAGAGTCGGCACACTGGCCATTCTGAATGGGGTTAATGAAGCGGTTTCTGAACTCTTTGACGGATCCAAGCAGGTTCTCCTTTATAAAGTTCACCATGCAGTGGTCTGTTAAGAGGACACATCATTAAAACATTAAATAAAAAAAAAATTCTCAAATTTTCTTCTAAAGAAACCAAAGAGGCTCACATTCAATAAGGTTATTCTGCAGAGGCGTTCCAGTCAGCACAATCCTCCTCCTCGTCTTGATGGAGTTCATTGCTTTGGAGACGGCGGACGCCTCGTTCTTCAGGATGTGGCCTTCGTCACAGATCACCAAGTCTGGACCTACCGTGAAAACAAATATCAGCAGCTTTACACATGTAAGATCAACAAAACATAAACAAACCAAACATCAGATTGCAGAATGTCTTTTGGTTTTTTGCTCCAGCAAACAAATTGGACAAAAGGGAAACTTTATTTTAATTTAAACCTGCAGATTAATCTCTAAATGTAGATTATTTTCTATAAATGGTTGAAATTTCACACATGAAACAAAATAATCTGAATGTTTTCGTTAAAAGATGTGTTTATTTATTATTAGATCAGAACATTAGAGCTGACCTGAGGCTGGATACTAAAGGCAGCCAGCAGTTTGAACATTATGACCATTTTACTTTTGTTGTACTTTGTCTATTTTTTAGATGGGAAGGCTTTTTTAATGAAAAATAACTCTGTTGCATTTTTTCTTAAAGTTTCTTATCAAATTGACCTCTTCTATTAAAGCTGTAGTTCAGGTATTTTCTGGTCAAAATCAGAGTTTCTGCTGGTTAAGCATTCAGGTGGTTTTTAAAAGGGATTCCATCATTAGTGGTTTATTCAGACAGTGGAGCTGATAGTGAAATCTGATTTCAGCTCTATCCCAATCAGCGCTCTTCCTCCAATTAATACCAGTAAATCAGGCAGAGCAGACCTGAAGGAAGGACATATCAACACTACTCTGATACTGTGTGCTAAAACTGTACCTGGATCTACGAGGGTTTTCTGAAACGTCTCTTTTAGCTTCTTGCTCTTGATGTTTCGGCCGTGCGTAAGATTTCTGTACATCTCATAACCCATGATCATAACGCCGCCCGACTCCTGCCACTGCTGGAGGGCGTACGCACGCTCCTGCGGCCTCTTGACCGTAGCAAGCTCCGTTACCTGGAGAAAAAAAAAACAAAAAAAAAAAACATGTTTTTTTTAACCACTGACGCTGAAAAGGGAGTGAAATAAAGAACAGGACTATTTCTTACCTCCAAGCTCTCCTCATCCTTCAGTCCCTCCTGCCATTTCTCGAACTCATTGAGCCAGTTAAGGACAGTGTTGAGAGGACAAACCACCAGAGCTGTGCTGAAGTCAAGCTTCTCACAGAGCAGCAGGGTGTGGAGGAATGTCACCACCTACAGGCCAACATGGGAAAAGTTAAAAAAGGACACATTACAGCTTTGGAGATAACAATTCACCTATCAGAGGAATCTGTCATGCGTCTGAAATATGCGGCAACGTGATAAGAAAAACCAAACTCTAGAAATGACTTGAAAAGGTTTCAGTGCAGCAGCTGGCTGATTAGAAAAGCTGGACCGTAAATGACAGATACATTTAATCTTTTTTATTATTTATGCTCAGAATCTGGTTTATTCCAATTTGTACAAATAAATATTTTTTTGCGGCTTCTATTAAAACACCCCAAAAAAATCCTAGGCTTGGAAATCTGCATATATTGGAATTGGGGGAACTTTTAGTAAAAAGCCTTTCTGTGTGTGAGACACATCAACTGTGACAGTATCTAAACGACCGAGTACTTTAGCAGGATGATCAAGGCTATTTTATTTTCTCACATTATGCCCTCCGCTAAACCAGACTAATATTCAACATTAAAATGTGTTAGTAACAGTTCTAGTACTGTTTTTTTTTTAGGAGTCTCTCCATCATGAAAAGCACTTTATGCGGTGCTGTAATGTGTTTGTTGGAACAGATTATTTTTTTTTTAGGTTTTTACAGCACTAGTGGCTCCTTTTTTGTACAGTGGGCTGACAGGAAAGGGGATACGAGAGAGAGTGGCAAAGGACCACAGGTCTGATTCAATCCCAGGTTGGCCACGTCGAGGACTAAGGCCTTTTTACATGAGTAGTGCGAGCTAACCCTTGCGCCACCGAAACACGCCCCTGGATTTTATTTTAAAACAATGTAATCAGTATAAGGAGGTCTCAATCAGTTTTTGGTTTGCAAAAACTCTTTCTACTCAGCTTCCATACAGTTTTAGTAAAATGTACAATCTGAGCAGGAAGGCTGAATTACAGTGAAAACGGTGAAGCCATCTCTTACCTGCAGAGTTTTTCCTAGACCCATGCAGTGAGCCAGGATGCAGCCAGAACCTGCAGATTTCTGAATCTTTTTCACAGACTCACAGCAGCAGTCCCACATAAACTGAACACCTGAAAGCAAACACAAAGCCCGTCTGAGTGGAAATCGTTCTCAGTTGGTCTGAATCTCTTCCTTTGGTTCTGGATTAAGTCACTAACCATCAACCTGATGAGGCTTGAGTTTTGTTACAAGGCTCCTGTGGACCTGAACGAGTGGCTCCTTGGTCTCTTCATCTTCATCCAATACCAGCTTGGTGGTGATGGGGCAGACCATCTGGGATGCTTCCTCTACAACCACAACCTGGAGACACATTGGATGAAGATTAGAATTACATTTTTTAAATAAAGGTATTTGTACCATGAAGGTAATCATAAAGGAGGTTACAGAGGCGATTAATGGAGAGGCTGTTCAGACTGTGTAGCCATCAGCAGACCAGGATATGGCTAGCAGTAACTTTACCCAAGCTACATCAAGGACAGTAAATCAGCAACACACAAACTGATCTATGAAAGTGCAGAGGTTTAATGTCTCTAACAGAGAGTTAAAAGCCACAGATATTAACTTTTTTTTTTTTTTAGTTTGCAGCGTCTTAAACTGGACTAACAGTTAAATGTTGAGTCCTTCTGATGAGCCATTCGCTGCTCTTAATGATTGATCCGCTTTTCTTTAAGGTTAAAACAGTTTTGAAATTTTCATTCGTTTTTTTAGGTTTGATTTCTGATTTCTGTTCTATTCTATTTTGAATTCATTTTAATATCTGTTGGCTTGTTTAGTCTTTGAAAATAAAGATGAATAAATAAAAAAAAAAAAATCTATAATAATGAAAGACGGCTGCAGCAAAACAAATGACCGACTGCCGCACTGCCATCTGCTGGCGTGATGCGGAACAGCGCAAGAAAGGAAACCAAAAAACTAGACCTCAAAATTTGGTTTGTTTTAATTCGTTTTGAAAACTCTTATTACAGCTTCAAATGTTTTTTTTTTGTTTTTTTTTACCAAGGTCAAATTTTTTTTTTTTTAAGTTTACAATTTTATTTTATTCTTTTATTCTAATGTCTAGCATTTCTTTAGTTTTTGTTTATATATTTATCTATAAACTCAAACTATTCCTTTAAACAACCAGAACGGTTAAAGCGCTAAAGTCTTTTAAAAAAAATCATCAGAACAAGAACGAAATTCAAGCTTTAAATACAACAAGATAGTTTTTTACTAAGACTTTACCGTAACCAGACGTGTTAAATCTTTAATTTAGGTGCTTCTGAAAACCATTAAACCCAATTTAAAGGAACAGTTTGTAATAATTACAGGGACCTACTGACATAATGGTATATTTATATGTATGTTATTTATTATGACTTATGATAATAGGTGATAATTATAGGATTTTTGTTAGCTTCCATACATTTTTTTTTTTATTTGGTATCAGTACCAACAAGTATTTCAATAGTTTAATATAAATTTTTAAAGAACAAAAGAAAACATATATAATTATTGGCTTTAAAAAAATAATTAAATAAAAAAAATCTAAGAACAGGTCAATCAGTAAATAAAAGGAAAAAAAAAACGAGTTTCTTATTAATACCAATTTAAAATCAAATATAAAATGACTTAAACCACTGGAACAGTGCTGTGAACCAGTATTCAGACCGGTAAATGCGGGCTCAGGTCTGTGGCTTGATCACTACGCCATACTCGTCTATCAGACCTGTTAATATAATGACAGAATTGTATGGCCCCCTAGCCGTTTTCTGATTAGCTACAGTAAATGTATCGGTTCACATATTGCGTTTAAACATCAGTATGATTATAAAGTCTACCTCTCTCAGTTTCTGCCTGAGCGCCTCTCGCTCTGCGATGCGTTTCCTCCTCTCCTCCTCCTCCTTCAGAGCGTCTCTGGTCTCGGTCCTCAACTTGTCGTCCTTCAGGATTTTGCGGAGCTTCTTCCGGCCTTTGGTTCCGTCTCCTTCTTGCCCTTCGCTCTCACCTCCTTCCTCTCCACTCTGTGAAAATGCACATTAGGTTCAGCTCTTTGATCCTCAGCCCTCAGGTGAACAGAGATGCTCTCATGATTATCAAACCCCAAGTTTCGTTTATAGCCTCCAATAACTCCCCAAATATGCTGCAGGGGGAAGTTTAAATAGCTTTTAGAAGCTTGCATGGTTTGACTAGTAAACTTCAACCTACATGATGATCACAAAGTTTCTGCTCATTTCTGCTTCCTTCTGGATGCTAAAAATCTCCAGGAACACTTAAACCAAAGCAGACGCCACAATGCTGGCTGAATAGTGCTGGTAAGATGCAAGGAGGTAAGAAGTGGACGCAGGATCCTTCTTATTGAGAGCTTTGTTTTCCCACAATCCTTTGCATGACAGGATGTATAAGCACACAAATCCTCACATAGTTTAAGAAAAATACATATAGTCCTCATGTTTTTGTGAAAAGCTGAATTAAACAAACCTTCTCATTGCTGGAAGAGTCGTCCTGAACTTTGATCCTGCGTCGCTTCTTTTTCTGTTGCTTATAACTTCTCTGATTCTCGTCTTCCTTCTTCTTCGCAGATCTACAGAAACAAAACAAGAAGCGCGTTTGTTTTTGTCCGCGTTTCATTAACTGAAAGCAAATGTCTGCTACCGACAGGATCCTGCCTTCTCACCTGGTCTTTCTGCGCTTGTTCTCCTTCCCTGAGTCGCTGACCTCTTCACTCATCCCCGATTCTGAACTAGACTCAGAGTCCTTGAAGTCAGTGTCTTCAGAGTCATCGCTGCCAACTGCTGCAGAGCAAAGCAACAGAGTCATGTGCTGGTTTTCTTAATGGGGAAATCATTTAAATAAAGTCCCAAATGTACCTTTACGTGCAGATTTTTTCTTGCTCCCCTTGGCCTTTTTCTCCTTGCCCGAGTCTTTCTCGTCCCCAGATTCCGCCTCACTCAGGGAGAGCTTGTGGCGGAGCAGTTTGTGACGTTTGCCAGGCTTCTTCACTTCAACATCGGACTCAGAGTCTTCTGTAACCATGTCATCTTTCAGGGGCGGAAAGTAAATCATTAAAAAATCCAAAAAAGGGAAGCAGACGAGGGGCCTCATTGAATGTTACTTTAATATTTCAAACTTACCTTCCTCTTCCTCCTCCTTTTTAGGTCTCTTAGAGGACTTGTCTTTCACGTCTTCCCCTTCATTGTCAGAGGAGCTTTCTGCTCCTGAAGAGTAACTGGACTTTATTTGTGCGAGGAGCATTTTCTTTGCAATTCTTTAAGATATAAAGAAGAAAAAAAAAATCAGAAAACTAAATAACAGATCACAAAGAAATGAAATTAGAGGTTTTATTGAATGGCCGACACTGTTTCAATTTAAATGTGTCATTTCTAAAGCAGTACCTGAACTTTATAGAAGTCACATGACTACCTAAAACTCTTATCATAATTTGACATTTAGATAACAGTTTTACATTTCAGGGAAAAATAGGTGGTAGCAACATCCCAGTTGTACACTAAGCTGATTTTATTACCATTAAATAAGAATTAAAGACAGAATTATCATATCGTTAACACAACCTCGCAAAACTCGAACTGAAAGCAGAGAGTTACAACTTCATTAAATTAGCATCTATATATAAGCTGGGCTTAGCTGCATGGTGTTAAATGACTTCGATCAGTGAAATATTGCAGAATGCTGCAACAGGGTAATTTTTAGCATCAAGGTCCAAGCAGCAAATTAAACCTAATGGACAAAGTCCAGAGTTTGCCATTAAACTCTAACCTCTAGAAGCAGCGGATTGGTTTTTTAGGGGTGACTGAATGAAGCAGAAGCCTTTTCTCCTCGCTAGTCAGTGTCATCCAGCAGTGATTTGCTAAAGTAACCACATCCCCTGGACTACCTCCAGATCATCACGGTTACAACACCCCCATGCATTTTATTGATTATTTATTGAACGGTGATAAAGTGATGAATAATTATTGTCTCCAACATCTTCCGCAAATCCCTTTCCAGGGTTTGTGGCTCACCTGTTCTCAGGGTCGTCGTCGTCGTCTTCAAACACCTGCGAGTCTTCTTTAGTGTCTACCTCGTCTCCTGGAGGATAAAAGCACAAACAGCAGCATTTTCTTACATCTTGTAAACATCTTTTCATGCAGAGCTTTGTTTATGTCAACTATTTAGCTTACAGAGACCGAGGGAAGCAGACTATATGAATCTATTAATTGATTAACGTCAATAAAAACCATGGGTGGAAAGTAATGAATCACATTTACTCAACTTACTGTAATTGAGTACTTTTTATGAGTAATTTGTAATTTTCTGAGTAGTTTTTGAAATATGTAATTTTTACTTTTGCTCGAGTAAATTTTAACCCAAGTAGTTTTACTTTGCTACATTTAAAACCCCCTCACGTTACTGAGTAAAAAAAAAAGAAAAAATACTGATGGTGAAAAATTTTTATGTGGCCCTGCCTTGCAGTTACCCTCAATTCGATTAATGACTCATCCTTTTTTTGCATTAAATAACTCAAAGTAACCAAGTAACTTTTACTCAAATTACATTTTAAATGAAGTAATTTCGTACTTTTACTTGAGTAAATTTTGAGATGGGTAATTTAACTTTTACTCTGAGTAGAATTTAGGCAAAGTAAAGATACTTTTACTCAATGACAATTTTTTTGTACCCTTTCCACCTCTGATAAAAACCGATGCCTCGCAGCCTTGCTTAAGAAGTTTACCAGAGGACTGATGGAAGACTCCGCTGCCTCCGACCAAGTTATCCTCCACGATGGGTTTGATCTTTTGCTGGTCACTATCTTCTCCGGATTCCCCGCCAGCCTCCTCCTCCTCCTCCTCTTCTTCTTCTTCAGATGAAGACTGCAGCTTGGAGGCGACTTTCGGGCTATTTCCCTTCCGCTTCTTTTCATAGGAACGCTTCCGATCAGCAGCCTTCCTGTCCGGTGAGCTTTTCTCCTCCCCTTTTGCGTCTTCTTGCTTCTTTACACGGCTAGATCTCCTCTTGGCCACGGTTGCTTTTGTTTTGGTCTCCTTCTCCGCGTCTGAGTCTGACCCAGAGTTGTCCGAGCTGCAGTTTTTCTTCTTCTTAGTCGTCTTCTTGTTTTTATTCTCTCCGTCTGAATCAGAGCTTTCGGACTTCCTTTTGCGTTTCGTTAACTTCTCGTCCTTCGAGGACGTTTCTGATTTAAACAGACGCTTTTTGGCAGCTGTGCTTTCCTGCTCCTCATCTGTGCTTTTGTCGCCTCTTGTGGCTTTTTCCAGCAGAGCAGGAGGAACTTCGTCTGAATCAGAGTCTTCCAACACTTTCTCTGAACTGTTAGTCTTTTTTTTAGTGTTATTGGATTTCTTTGAAGGCTTGGCCTTGGCGTCTTCCTCAGACTCTGAATCAGAGGAGTCTTTCTTGCCTTTGTTTTCCCCTTGCTTCCGTAAAGGAGTGGTCTTAACTCTGCTGGAGCGGCGGGTTGGCGGTGGGCTGTCTGTCCCTTCTGCTGCAGCAGAATCTTCCTTATCCTTGCTCTTGCTGGTCTGCTCCTGGTCATCTCCTTTTTTAGACTTGGAGGACCTAGACCCGCCACTTTTAACAACCGGCACTGGAGTCAGTTTGACTATCAGGTTCTTTACTTTGGGTTTGGGACAAGGAGTTTCTGGAGGATTCTCCTTTGACTTTGTGTCTGCGTCTTTCTCTGAAGTGGTGTCGGTCCTTGAGAGCATGGAGGAATCAGCGAGACTCTCCACCATCTGGAAAAGCTCCTCTGGAACTGAAGGAGGCACAGACATGATGTCCTGATCTAATGACGCTTCAGCAGAGGACAGCGGTTGGCCGTCAACGACCTCGGTTTTTACCACTAGCGGCGGGCTTGTTTCGCTTTGCCGTTCCTCTGTCTGAGTGTCATCAGACACTTCATTGGCCTTACCGTCCTGCTGCTCCGTCACTACCTCCTCCATGGTTTCTGCTTCATCGACCTGTTCCGTTCTACTGGATGGTTCCTCGAACGCCTCTTTTGTTGAAATGTCCTTCTCATTAGGCGGCTCTTCAACAATCTCCTCATTTTGTGTTCTACAATCTGAATCTGCGTCACCATCCACCTCCTTCTTCACCTTTGTCCTTTTGCCAGATTTACACACCAAATCCTTCTCCTCAGGCGGCTCCTTGGTCCCCTCCTTCATTTCTTCCACCTCCATCTTTACTTCATCATGCCGCTCGCCATCCACGCTAGGGACCGGATCTGGGGCACACTCCATCTCATTGTTCTCGGAGGTTTCCACAGCGGGGCCGGCCTTTCTCACGTGTTGCCCTTCGATCCCGTTCTGCAACTCCATTTTTCTGAACTCTGGCTTTAAAGCTTCCTCCAAAGCGTTGTGGGCTTTCCTCAGATCGGTCAGCACCGCCTTAAAGGCTTTCAAATGTCGATACCTGATGCTTGCGTCTGCCTGGTCGTCGGCCGCCTGCTGGATGAACTGAATGAAGGTGTTATTCAAACCGGTTGTCGTTTCTACAAGCTTCTTTGCCTTTTTTAGTTGATCTTTGGGTATCTGCAGGTTTTTATAAGAGAAGGTCATGGTCCCCAAGCCTTCGTTGTGCTCTTTCCCATTTGCAACAGCTTTCTGCTCTTTAGGAGACTTCTTCTTCTCCTTCCTCGCTTCCCGCTCCTCTGCTTTCTCCGTTTTCCGCTGCTTCATCTCAGCTTCCTCCTTCCTCTGCATGATGTTCTGGCAGCTGGCGACCAGATCCTGCAGGGGGTCAGAGCGGCACACATAGCAGTGCCACTTTGAGTTCTCATCCGTGATGTTTGACAGCTCCTTTCTGCCCAGGTTTCGCAGTATGCACTTTTTGCAGAAGGCGTTGTTACAGTAGTCACAGCAGATGAGCTTCCCGCCCTCAGCACACCATCTGATGACACAAATATAAAACACTTGTTGACATCTTGCTTTCTGCAACCTTTTGGTAAATTTCCGTTTGCAACAAATTAGCATCATTCATAACGCAAACCCTCTAAGAATATTTCCCCAAGAATTCATAGATAAAATCCTAATTTCAGAAAGTGAACCTCACAAAGCTTAATGTCACAAACATTTAACGCCCTTGTTTATTTGTAATGTTTATATCATACAGATAGTGACAGTTTAGTTAGCATCAGGACTTCGAGTTGATCCTATCTGACACATATGAGCTTTTTTCCCACAAACCTTTGCATGACAGGATGTATAAGCATGCCATCTTTACATAGTTTAAGAAAAATATGTTATTTCCTCATGTTCTCTGTGGGACACATGTAAATGTACGTTAGATATTGACCTTTTCAGGATAATACCGATTATTTTGACATCAGTCTAAGCGATCCCTAATAGATTATGATAAGATTGTTGGAGCTGATATTGCTCAGTCTTCCTCCATTTACACAACAAAAATGACTAATCGATCACAAATCTTGATTTATACAAAACATCTATTAACAAATAAAATTAAAAAAGAATAAAAATGTATAAAAAATGGAGGGAAAGGCAATGCATGCACTCCATACCATCTTAATGTATGGCTGCTGAACTCACCTTTGAATCAGCGAAAGTACACGAGCAAAAAACAAACAAAAAAAATTTTCTTTTGTTTTTAAATATCAGCATGCCAAAAATGTATCAATCGCTAATACCCATACCTTCATATGTTTTTGTTTTTATAACAGACAGCTTGAATCGATCGCTATACTTGAGTGACTTCAGCTTTTTGTAGCTGATAGGGGTGTAAATCACATCCATCATGGCGATTCGATTCAGTATCGATTTCCTGACCCAACGATTCGATTATTTACGATACGATTCGATTAATCGGTTAATTTTTATTTATTTTTTTTACACCTTACAGGCTAAACAAAGTTTCAAGTTTGAAATAAAAGTTGCATCAAAAAATACTGCACATAATCAGTGCAATGCAATACCTCGGCTCCAAACGTCACCGCTCCCTTAAGACACGCTCCGCTGCACCTCTCCCAAATTGTAGCTGACCTCAAACAGTGCCGCAGACGAGAGGCCGGCTTGTTTTGTTTTTATGACCAAAATGCGGAAAACACCTCGTGAAGTTTGACCCGCTAGAAGAGTAAGGTGCGCGAGAACGCTGGGACCCTTTTTCCACCTGGATCTCCGCTCTTTTTGGCCCTCATGTCCCTCCGTCGCCTGACTAAACTCGCCCCCACTTCCTCGCCGCCTCGGCCGTATCTAGACCCACAGTGTGTAGCACAGACCACGCTTCAATATTGAGCATAATTTAAAAATGTCTGTGTCAAGCTCACTGTAACACACTGCTGTAAGAGTATAACCAGGAAGCGAGGTAGGAGGGCAAAATAGATTTAGCGCCACTGTAGCACGGGAGGGAGAATTACACCCAGGAGCAAATGGATAAAAATAGACCGGAGAAAAAAACAAAAAAAAACAAACATCAGTCGATTCTCTTGCGGACGTGTCGATGCATCGGATCGTCGGCTGTTGGATCGATGCATCGATACAAAACGATTATTATTTACACCCCTAGTAGCTGAAGTAGTCCCAACTTGATTTTGATTATAAACGTGTGCTTCTGTCGCAAAATGACGTCCATAAAGCTTAAGCCTCTGTCCAAATTCAGCTCAGGAACTCCTTTCCTACCCTTGATATTGTTCTTATTGGCAACCCCACAAAAGTAGAAGTGATAGGAGCTAGGAGCTACAATTGGAGATATTCGGAAAGGAGCCTTAGCCTGAGTTCAGAAAGTTACACAAGTCGCTGAGCAAAGTCTGCTACTCATACCATCCACAAGAGCATTTAATGCAAGGATATTCATATAAAGTTGAGTGGAAGGAAAATGTGTCTTAGGAAAAGTTACAATGGCAACAGGGCTTATAAGCTTAAAGGAATTTTTAAACAAATATTCAATATTTATCCTGCGTCACCACATAATAGCAAACTTTTTCTTTTTTTTGGTTACTTTTACTTCAGTATGCCACAAATCATTGTTTTGTTGGTGTCCGCACCTGCATTGCTCATCCATCCCATCTGAATCCCGGCCGATGTCATCGCTTGTGTAGTATTTATAACATGACTGCAGAAAAAAGAAAAAGAAAAACAATGATCAGCAATACCTAAAAAACGAACTATATTATTGAGAAGAACACCTAATCTAAATAATGTTGATACCTTGCAGATGAGAACCTTGAGCATTGGATGCTCGTACACAGAGTTGCGCTGAAATTGGTTTACTTGTTTCCCGCAGGCTGTACAGTTAACCTTCTTCTCCAGGGTATCGTCTGCCACAAACAAAACAAACTGTCTCTCCAAACCAATTTTTTTCTCATTTACTTTACACTTGGTCTGCTTGAATCTCTAACATAATCAGACTATTGAAACCTTTGAATAAAATCAGAAGGTCACCTGGTTTTTTCTGTTTGAAATCCACTCTTAGCTTCATGGCACCTTTGTTTTCATTTCCGCTCGGTTTCATCACTAAGGTCCCTTAAAAAACAAGCAAAAACAAAATCAGTGGCGTAAAGATTTGCCTCGACTTTGAGCTAACTCGCACTGTCCAGCTCGTACCTTTAGAATCGCTGCCTGTATTACTGTCAGAATTGGCAGCTTCATTTTCGCTGCCAGTCGATGCATCTGAGTCTTTCTGTTCTTTGTGCTTAGGTACACTGGTGGGTTTCCTTAATTGTATTGACATGATACTTTAGTACAGCATCTGTGTAATCCACTGAAGACATTTGGAAATGAAAGTGAGCTCCTTACCTCTTGCTGTGAGAGGAAGATGGTTTCATGTTGTCTGATGAGCTCCCAGGCTGCAGACACACCATGATTTATTATACCAGTTTAAAAACAGTGTGTATAACATGTACCAACCTAGAAATAACATCCTCACCTCCTCTCCTTTCTCTCCCATTTGGTCTAGGTTTGATTCCGAAGAAGTCAGACTCAATTTACCTGGAAAGAGACATTTTTAAGCGAACATTGTGGTAATCCATAATCATTAAGCTTCATTAATGCTCTCAACAACAAATCGCTTAAATAAAAGCTTAATTTTAGTTAGCATTGCTAAGCCCAAAGTGACCAACGATGTCTAAACATCCAGTCAGACCAAGCCTAACACTAGCATGAGCACCTTAGCTTATATTGGAATGACCTACTTAACAGACCACTGTTGGATATGCAATTTATGGATGAATTGATCTGATAAATGAATTCGTATTAACACAGACCTAAATGTAGACTGGATGAATTAAAACAAAGCGCAACTTTTCATGCTTCCTACCCCATTTTTGAGCATGATATGTTAATTGAAACAAATATATGTATTTTTCTCTTCTTTTTTATGCACTTCTTGTTACTGTGCACTATTTTATTTTTTTATATTTGTATCATGTTCAAAATAAATCTCATTTCATTTCATTTTTCCCAGTCAAAAACAGATATTACACATACGGTTACCTTGTATTATTCTATAGACATTTACAAGACGCTGAATGAAATTATTCCACAATACATTTAATAAAAATGTTAAGTAGGCATCATTTTGCATTAGGCAAAAAAATGAATTGATAAATTAACTTAAAAACTGTGGAGTAGATCCTTTATTATCACATCTAGAGCTGCTGTGATTTGTCTCACTTTCTACAAATAAACAATATAACCCAAGACATTAAGGGAATTTAAACCAATTCTACTACACTTATCTGATTTACAAAACAGCCACAGATGTAATCCTGTAATGGTATTTTTTTTGTTTTGCTTCTTTTATGAGTAGCAGATGAAACTATACGCTTAATCCTCTAATCAGAGGCCTTGTATTTATTATGACAGACTGCGATTCCTCTGGTACCTTTATCTAATTTCTTTAGGACATGTAGTTGTTTTTCATGCCTGGTACCTGTGAGGAAAGGTATCTGAAGGTTGTTTTGTTTTTACCTCACAACATCCATTTGTAACCTGTAGAAAATAATCATATAACTTTCTGCTCATTGCACATTAGTCTCAGATAAACTCGATCTTCTCTTACCAAGTGTCTTTTTTTATCCTTTGATATTTGCATTTCCATACCAAGCCTGTTTTGTGATCAACTATTTCTATTATGTAAACAACAGCAATGAACTTGGATGATGTTGGAACCAATTACTTTCTCTAACTTGGCAAAGAAATAAGTTTCAATTTATAATATTCAAAAATCTGTAAAAGCATAAACATTCACTTTATTAAACCAAATAAAGGTACTTAAGAACCAGAACTATACAAACTTTAAGTCCCATGAATGTAGCTTATCAAGATGCTACATGGTTTGTTGCAATGTCTCCTGTGACAGGTTACCTTGTCAAGTTTAAGAAAGCAAAACAAAAAAATGTCATTTTTAAGAAAAAAATAAAATGTCGGTTAAGGCCTAGCTCCCTGTTCTCCAGTCGTTCGCAGTTTATTTATCCCAAACACTCTCAGTTTTGACAGCCCAGAAACTCCTGACCATCGTGACGTCAACTGAATGTGCGTGTTTATCACTCAGCTTGGTCCTGAAAGCTTCATTTTCTTTCACTAATGGGCTGGCACCATTTTTTTTACCATTGCATTGCATGTTGGCTCCGTTGCATGGGCATGCAGACATGCACGCAGGCCTTCGCATCCTTTATGTGGATATAACGTGGTAAAAGAAAAAGAAAAAATCCGCGCCCTGCACTGTCGTGTAGCATCCATACTTGATATGCTTTGCAGCATTAAGCTAGCGACAGCAACGTACAAATAAATGAAATTAATTAATTATTTAAGTTAATATATTTTGTATGTTTTCGGTGACATGTCGGGTGTTAGAATGTAAACATGCAAACCTCCATGTCTGCAGACATCGATATTGCCGGCTGCGCGGCTAGCGCTCGGCTAGCTTAGCGTGCTAACTAGCATGAAGGCTGCCATGGCCCCGGCTCGCTGCTAACGAAGCCGCCACAGTAATCAATGCAAAGATGGCTTGTCTAAAACAAACAGTACAAACAACGACTATACCTGCTTTTCAGCAATCGTCATTTCCTGACGGACAGTACCGAGTTTTGGTCTTACTCCAGGAAGCCCCGTCCAATTCAAATCACTTAATTTCGATGGTGTGGAAGCTACAATTTAGGGCAAAAAGCCAAAATAACTCCGGTGAGAAGAAACAAAGCAAGGGACCATCTTGCCGGATGAGTGTGGACGCAGTAAAATGGCGCATCCAGTATCAGCGGTGCGAGCGTTCCTATTGGCTGGCCGCTTCAGAGGATGGGAGGATGTGATTGGTTCAGCCAGAAGGAGGCAAACACTTCCTCTGAAAGTACAGCAAAGCTCATACCAAAACATCTAACTAAATATTGCGTTTTAATTTTCTTCTCTCATTCATGTTTTTAATAAATGCAAACTTCCCTTTCATTTACACGTTCTCTCAACTTTCTTTACAATAATGCAGACTTATACCTTTCATGTAGGCTTCATTGTTGATGTCTGGCTGAGGCCATGTTTGGCTTGTAAACAGAACAAACAGCAACAGTGTCAACCCTCTGCAAATCTGATTGTATAAAAACACGTCAACAATAAAACTTTTCCATCTTTTAACAATGTTTTTAAAAAGGTTTTTTTTTTTAACTATACATTCACATAAACATGTGAATGATTATGTGAATGTATGGTATTCCTACGCCACTAAAAATAGGTGTGCCTCACATCACACAGGTTGCAATCCTCTGGCCAAAATAAAACTATAGCTGCATGTAATTAGAAGTTACCTGGAAAGTATAACTAGTCTACGTGCGCGTTATTAAACCTGGGCTGCACTATGACGGCCTCAGACTTCTATTTGAGGACATCATTGAACACAGGAGAGCTACCTCCTCGGCGGTACATCTACACCTTATGGACATTCTTTTGAGGACCAGAATGTTCACATTTTGGACAAAGATGACATGTGGTTTAAAAGGGGTGTGAAGGAAGTCATTTATGTTAAGAGAAAAAAAAAAACATCCTTAAACAGAGGGGGTGGACTCAGGTTTAAGCTCTCAAAAACCTACAACGCATCGATAGAGTTGATTCCTTCCTGCTATCATAATCCTCGTCACCATGCAGCGAACTAGGTCATCTCGCCTGGTCAGCCAGGCCAACAATGCCCCTAACGACTGCCCCCCTTTCAGAGGCATTGACCAGTATCGGGTATTGCAGGCTCACAAAGACCTTAATGACCCCCAATAACTAAGGGCCGCTCTTCCGGTTCAATTTGCATGTTTAATTTGCATGAGTAGCCAAAACAAGGCTATGATATAAAGCTCAAAACTTGACACTAATTGTGACATTTTTAATTAAAAAAGCTTCCTGGATGGGAAGCGAAACATCTTCAAACTTTGAAACAAATTCCAGTGTTTTTTTTGTTTTTTTTACTTTTTTGTAATCACTAAACAGTGTTATGAAGACCAATGAACAAGCCATGAAGATCAAGAAGGTTGTGGAGTATATAGCAGGGTAAGGTTATAAAATGGTATCCCAGACTTTAAAAACTCAGTGGGAGGCGGAGGTTAATAAAGAGCCACAATGGAGGAAAACCTTGAACAGGCAACAAACATTTGAAACTGAGTTCAATATTTTTCCAATTTGAAATGGCCCAATTAAATTAAAATCTAGAGTTCTGAAACCCAACTGAATCGGGTAAACCCCTAGGACCTACAGAAAGTTATTGGAAAAGTACCAGTCTTCTAAATTGTTTTCTTTTTTAGGGATGATCCTGTTTTGTGTAGAACCAGTTCCATGAGCATTAAACAATACTGATCATTAAAACTGCAGGCCTGATCAGTGAGTTAAAAGCTCAATGTTGCAGCTCAGCTAATGGGACTGATGCATGTGGGTCTGCTGTGATTGCCTCTCTCAGCTGCAAACCAGCTTAAATATATTAGTATAACATTATATGTAACTGATACGTCTCTAGATTTACAGTACAAAAACAGAATAACTTTGTAAAATGACACCTTATTTATTATGAAATATGAAATCTTCCATTAAACATTCAATATTACCTAAGATTTGTGAGTTAGCACAAAGGTCACATCACTTTAGTCACTTCACCAGTGTTTTTTATTTATTTTTATTTATTTATTTTTTTACTGCTAATCAAATACACAAAAAAATACTCTCTAGAAAGAACAAAACACCTTTAATTTATTCATGAAGAAGGGCACTCTATATGTCTCTTTCTCACATATAAAACTCTAAATAACCAAGTTCCATCTTGTATCTCAGATCTGATTCATATGTTCCTAACAGGGCAGTTCACTCTCAATCTGTAGATAAACTAGTGGTTCCTAGAATTTCTGAAAGTAGATTAGGTGGCAGATCTTTTATTTATCAGGCTCATCTCCTGTAGGAACAACCACCAGTTTTAATCTTTGGTGCGGAACTGTCTATTTTTAAAACTAGGCTTAAAACTTTCCTTTAAAAAAAACCTAAAATTAAAAGGGCCCAGGTTAACCTGAAATATCACAAATGCTATGCTGCTTTGGGCTTAGGCTGCTGGAGGACATAGAGGAAACGTTTTATTATTATGCTTCATTCTCTCTATTCTCCAATTCTGTAGTTTAATCCCTATTTTTTATTTTTTTTTGGTTTACTCTGCTTTTCTCAACATTGTAGCTTCATCAGGTCTGGTCCTGTTTGGTTGTGACACCATCCCGGAGGAAAATCATAGATAGGATACAGCCATTAACAACTTCCATTACAGATGATATGGGCTCAGCTTTTACTTTGACTGTTACACATTTAATCCCATTTGATTTGAAAACTGGCTCAGACTTCAACTGTTCCTTTCCTACACAGAATCACATATGGAGCTAGTTTAACTCTAAAATACAAAGTATGTGTGGATCAGTGCTTCTATGTTCTGTTTGTATATCTGCTTCTGTCTCCTTGAACTCCCAGTCCAGCTCGGCAGATGGCCGCCCAGACTGAGCCTGGTTCTGCTGGAGGTTTCTTCCTGTTAAAAGAGATTTCTTCCTCCCCACTATTACTGCATGCATGCCTCGTTTAAGAGATTGCTGTAGAGTCAATGACATCATTTACACAAATATCTACTGATGCCACAAGTGGTGAATCCTCCAAAGTTAATGACTAGATGAAATTTAGCTGGCTTTCCTTAGATAAAAATTGTAACCAAGTTACCAGTATAATCTGATCAATTCTCTTGTAAAGTGCCTTGAAATGACATGTGTTGTGATTTGGAGCTATTTACGTAAATTTAATTTTTGTTAATCTTTATTGGTGGGATTCTGTTCTACTGTAACATCCCAATAGCAGATTATTTATAAGTTCTTAAAAGGCTTTAACTCCTCTGTCAAAATGGTCAGTTTATGTTACATAGTGGGATGATGAAGAATAATGTCAAACCATTTTTAACTTATAATGTGTTATTCCTCTTGTACAACTCTTCTTGAAAACCAAGAAAACCTATATATACATAAAAGCAAAAGATGTATTAATCTAAGGTTTGTTTCCCAAAGCAGGTTTACTGAAAACTCTTAAGTTTTCTAAACCTGAATCAATCAACACAGATCTAACCTAGTCGGTAGCAGGTTTTGTTTGATTAACTCAAACCCAAAGCCAAAC